TTTTTTAGGAACAAGAAATCTCATCTAAAAAGAATCAAATTAAAGACATGAAACTATTAATTCAACAATTAGAAACTTATTTAAAGGTAATTATTTAATATTTAAAATTAATATATTAAGTATTTTAAGATTCTCATAAATATCTTTTATTACTTTTAGCATTACCTTAGCAAGAACTTTTCAAGTCTAATCTTGCGGATTCTCGACAAAGAGAAGATGAGGCGAAAAGACTTTTAAATTCTTCTCAGTCTAGAGGATAAGTTCTTAGTAGCTTAATAAAGATCAAAGATAATGGTCTTATAAAAGGATTATATGTAAGTTCGTCGGAGCGGAGCGTTCTATAAATTTGTTTTGCTGAAAATCTTATTTATTTTAATTTTTTTAATTAGGATCTTTGTAACCTTGGTGTCATTGATGATAAATACGATGTCGCGATTTCAATTGCCTGTTCTGCATTGAACAACATCGTAGTTGATTCTATTGAAGTTGGACAAACTTGTATAGAATACCTTAAAAGAAAAGAATTAGGTTGCGCCAAGTTCATTCTTTTGAATGAACTGCCTACCATGGACATGAGCCCGATACAAACACCTTAAAATGTTCCCTGTCTTTTTGATCTTATTAAGCCGAAAGATGACAGATTTATCCCAGCATTTTATAGTGTGTTACAAAACACTTTGGTTGCCCAAAATTTACAACAAGCGAATAGGATTGCATTTACTAATACGCGATGGTGCGTAGTGACGTTAAGTGGTCAAATCTGGCACTATGAGCGGAGGAGGTAACAAATTGTTTAAAGAAGCCATGAGTTCAACATTTTCTTCTGACACAACATCGGAGACAATATCGAAATTGGAAAAAGACCGTAGCCACTTTGAAATGCAGTGGAAAGAAATAAATGAAAAAATTAGGTCTTTAGAACCTCAATTTCAAGAGAAAAAAGATGAACTTTCTAAATTAGAATTTGAGCTATCGAAGTTAGAATGGATGCGAATGCTTGCGCAAAACGTATTATTTGTACTGAAAAAAGAGTAGCCGAGTTACGGTATGTATAGAACTACTAATAAATTCTTGTTAAGGGTTAACATTAATCATTTTTTTATTTTTTTCTATAAGGAAAAAAATAATCCAAGTATAGATGATACCAGGCGTATGGGACAACTTCGAATACAAATTGATCATCCATCTCAAGAGTTAAATAGATTGAAAAGACAACCTTCTAAAATTGAAGAGGAGATTAAGATTTTACAAGATAAGATTTTGGAAATTGGGGGTGATAAACTTAGAGCTCAAAAGTCGAATTAGATCATGTTAAAAATCAACTTGTTTTAATAAATGAGCGAATTATCAAGTCTCAATGGCCAAATCAAGGGCGGAAAAGGATAGGATTAATCGAAAATTCTCTAGCAAAAAGTGAAAGAGAATTAGAAGAATTAAATAATGACTTACGAAAGAAATTCAACAGAAAGCCGAAGTTGCTCGTTCAATTCGTATTAAAACCGATGAAGCCAAATCAGTATTTATTCAGACTAATGTTTAATTATATCTGATTTTTTTTTAAAAAAAATATATATACAGTCAACTCTCTATAAATGCACCCCCCTCGGGACTAAACAAAAGTGTGCATTTATACAGGGAGTGCATTTATAGAAAAATATAGAATAATCGGCCGGGGATATATGCGCATTATGAAATACCGCGCCTATCATCTTTTAATTACATGCGCGGAAATTAAAACGATCAACTGCACCGAGCCGATACAGTTTAGTTTTTTTAAAATTTTTTTTTTTTTTGTATTTCCTCTTTCCCTCTTTCCTTCCTTCCCCTCTTTTCCTCTTCCTTTTTTAGGAACGGCATTCTTGGACCCTTGGACTTCCGAACTTTCTTAGAATGTAAGCAACATTACAGCATTACCGCAGCTGCAACACGTTACATAATAATATATAGCAGTGTGATACACAACGCGATATATTATATTATTTATAGTTACATTATGATTAATCTATACTTTATTTTATTAGGTAATTTATAATTCTGATCGAGACTATAATCACATAGTCACGTGAGTGCATTTATGTAAAAAATTTTATATATACGGAATTGGAAAATTATTGCACGGTGTATAGAGAAAAGGGTGCATTTAGCACTAATTCCCCGACTCGGGACTGAGCTAAGTAGTGCATTTAAAAAGGGTGTGCATTTATATAGGGTGCATTTATAGAGTTGACTGTAATACTTATTTACAATTATTTAGATATTGGAAGGTAAAAAAGAAGAATTATATGAAATCAAGGAAAAACTTGATGAAAAAACCGAAATAAATAGTCGGATTCGAGTAATTGAGGTTATATTTTTATTATTATTATTTATTATTATTCTCTTAACATTACGTCAAATTTTTTTTTATAACCAATCACTGTGCACTGTATTAGTTAAAAATCAAAAACCAGCTAGAAGATAATGAGCCGCACTTTGGTAGAAATAAACAAAGAAATCCATTGGCGAAATTCTCTTAGAAATCTTACACTTCTTGAGATGGGGTAGCGTGCTAATGATATTTTTAAAATATTCATTCTACCATTTATCTAATTAACCTTATAAATTGAGGTGATGAGGAGCAAGAATGTCAAATTTATACTGATGATGAGCTCGATGCAGTGGACAAAGATACATTACAAGGAGAGATCGATGATCTTAAAGTATTTCAATTTATCTTTTTATATTTTACTTATTCTTTACATTTAATTATTTTTTTTAAAAAAAATTTTTTTCAGGAAAAAAAAAAAAATGCCAATCCAAATCTAAGTATTTTGGAAGATTATCGTCACGTGTTAGAGATCTTGAAGAGATTAATTACTTCTAAGCATGATGAATGTAAAGAGGAATATGACAATTGGAAGAGTTCATACATGAGTTCACTTTGATATCTAGAAACTCAAAGAAATGTATCTGATATCTAAATGGCACTTTTCCAACGTTCATTAATCTTGGCATAATGTATATTTATTTTGTCAAAATACAGACACAGTTCTTTGGCTTTGGTATTTGCTCTACACTAATTCAAACCTACACCCTTATATGTTATGGATGAGATTGATGCGGCCTTGGATTTTCGCAATGTGTCAATCGTCGCCAACATTATTAAAGAATGTACTAAGACCCACAATTTATTGTTATTAGAAACGCTTCCAATTTGTGGTTAAGTTAGAGGTATTAGAGGACTCATTCATCAATGCTTAGCATGGAGAAATGGATTGTTGAAACTATCAACTACACATTAAAGTTTTGGTAAATGGGATCCCTATTTTTCGGATGAATCTAAAATTGGCAGTTTTTCTCCTTTCTATTGCAAAGATACCAAATGTATTTTTTAGCCAAATTTACATTTATTTATGGAAAAAATAATTTTTTAGATTTTCTTTTTCCTAACAATCATTTATTTTTCAAATTGCTTCAAATATTTGATTGATTGATAAAAGTTAAGTTTCATAATTGAGTAGTTGATTTGTAGATTATTATTAAAAAGTTTATAGTTCAAACTCTAATTTTATCCTTTTTCTTTTGAAGTAGAGATTTTCAAAACGTCTCGGTCTTTTTCACTTTCTCGCACATGTCACTACCGTCACACATAAGAGCCAGATTGTCACGACTTAATGTCACTACGCGTCATCGAGTTTTGCTAAATGCGATCCTATTCGCTTGTATTATATTTTGGGCAATTAAAAACTATTTTATAAAATGTCTAAAATAAGAGAATAGAAAATCTATTATATGTTATTGTAAGCATCATTGATGAAGTGGTAGTGAGGTTGGAATAATGATTCTAAATTGCGAATTAAAGTATTCGTCATATGATAATCAACATTCTCACTCCTTTCATTTACATCAACATCACCCTTTCCATTCACCAAATATTCTTTGAAGCACAAATTTTCCATCCATCGAAAGGATTTCGATATACGTATTATAGTTTCATCATAGGCATCATAGGCATCAGCATCAAATATTTTTAGAACCAATTTTTGTCGGGTAGAAATTACCATACTGAATGAGGTGTAAGCGAATAGTATTAAAAAAAAAGATTTATTCGTAGTAGACTTTTTTAGAAATCTTGTTACTTTTGTAACTGTACAATTTTTTTGGTTTAGGTGACACAACGAGACCAATTTTAAAGGTTTGATACAGACAACTTCTATCTTGTGGAAAGTAACTAGGGAATGGTAATTGTGAGTCCGGAGCTCGCAAATCATTAAGTGTAAGCTAATTTCTCATTTTTTTTTAATTTATTTTATTTCAAAACTTTATATAATGAAAGAAAATTATTTCTATATGATCATGCTAAAAAGTCAATTAGACGATGTTATAGCTTTAAGACCGGCTTTATTGTATTATAATATTCCTCAAGAAATTTTTAGATGAAATATCTAGAAGATAGTCAGAATCTTGAAACTAATAAAGATCGTAGAATCAAATGTTAAAAAGTTTCGTAATACTATTCTTAATATATCTTATAATAGTCTTAGAGAAACAAACCATTCTTCTGTTATAATAGAAAATGAAAACAACGACGGAAACAACAAAAATACTTCTTTTCTTTCGTAACAACTAATGAATGGAAAACGACAGACAAAGACATCTTTAAAATATTCAAATATATAACACAAAGATCATACGAAATTCTTGAACTCTTTTGACGACAAAATTAAATTCGCAAAATAGGATATAGTTTTTTTGAAGATCAACATTTATTTGCTGATATTTCAAGATCACAATTGCATTATTAGAACAGTAAGATGCTTTCAATTGATGCGGAATTTACAGCTCTTTTGAAAATCTAAATTCAATTTCCTCATCGTAATTTCATATTTGGTAAAGTCACAATCAGAAATGATGAAAGTTTAATATTCTTTCGCGTCGAAAGTTTATATATTAAATGTTTAATGAAATATTTGCTGAAATTATATATTGAAATTCTTCATCAAGGTTGGCAAAGCTTCATAAAACGTGCACGGTTAATGGATCTAACATTTCTTCACGAATCATTTTCAAAATGGCCTTGCAAAAGGATGGTGCTGAACTTTCAAAGATCAAAATTATAGAAATTATGTTAGAAACCTAAAACAGTTTTTTCTATTTCGACTCTGATAAATATTTGTTAAACCAGTTCAATGGATAATTATTCAGATGCATAAGCTTATGATATTGGAAATTTTGTCGTTCATTATGTAATTATTTCTGGAAAGATATCAATATGTGAACTATTAATTCTTAACCTGATTCAACACTTACTGTAACCGATCCAGAAAAATGTAAATATTATTCTGCGAATTACGAAAACATGCACGTAGCTTCCGTTGCTACATCTTAAGAATTATATATAGAAACGGAAAATTCAAAATTGTATTGGCTAATCAAGAAGCATATGAACAGCATAGCAAGCAGGAACCTGAACTTTGGAAAGCTCATGGAGTTGAATTACTTGTACAATTATGGAAGGATGATTATATATGAAAACAGAATCAAATTTTTATATTATTCTTGAGGCAATGATTAAATACAATTCGAGGATTTAGAATTGGACTTGGAGAACTTTTATATATGCAATTGCATTATATATAACTCTACTTAATTTTATTGATATTATAGGTTTATAAAGTTTATCTTCATCTCAATCCTAGAGTGCTTGGAACTCTGGGCGTTAAGAGCATTCACATTAAACCTTTCGATTTTGTTAGTTCAACATCTACAGTCGATTTAGTGATTTTATTTTTAGAAAATTTAAAAAAATGAGGGTAGTAGAATAGGATTAGAAAATTAAAGATTCTTTTATTTTTGATATATACTACATATATATAGAGGGTATCCGAACGATAAGTTTTTTTTTGTTTATTTGCTTTGTTTATAAATGCATGTCATCACAACAATCACTATACTTTTAATTTTCTTTCGAATAAAAAATGGTTAAGACAAAAGGATTAACGGCAGAACAATTTGCAATTCTTTATGGCTATAAACGGGTGATTCTTATAAAAAAAATTGCTGCAAATACCAAAGAAACGTTGTGGTCCAAGCCACTTCTTGATTCAAATGCACAAGCCTCGCTCAAAAAGCTCGTTACACAAATTTCGAAGCACCGCCGCCTTACCGCTCGTAAAATTCAAGAATAAAAAAAGGGTAGTCTCAACCGTTACAAATTCGTCGAACCCTAATTACTGAAAATAACAAATACAAAAGATTGGCTTGGGCATTGGAACGAAAAGTGCAGAGTGGAGAAAGTTGTATGGTCTGATGAATCAACATTTAGTTAATTTTTACAAAGTCGTAGCTTACGTGTGTGGCGTATCCAGAGGAAAAGTTTGACTCTTCTTGTTTTAACTGCCACGGTAAAACATAGTCCCAGTCGAATGTTTTGGGGATGCTTTCATGGCATGGGCTGGGGCCATTTGTTCCTCTTTGTGAACTGTAACAAGACAGAGACATGCCGAAATTTCCATAATTCGGCATGAAAATCGCTTTCGATATTTGCAGTTAATTTTTTGAAGATCATTTGTCAGGCTGACACGGTGCCAGCTGTCAAGGCGCCAGGTTGTAATAGACGCCAGGCTGTCAAGGTGCCAGTATGACAAAATGTCAAGACGCTAGGCTGACCTAATTTTTTTTTTTTTTTTTATAAATAGAGCCGGAAATCCTTAAACAACTTAACATTCCACGCTCGCCCTTGTTATATTTTGCATGAAATCCTTCCTTTAACCCCTTCGCGATATTTTCGCTTTCGCCGTTTTAACTTTTTGATTTCGTATTTGTAACTTCGTTATTTTTTTTTTTAATTTCCGATTCTATTATTATTTTATTATTCAAATTAATCAGTGTTACCTCAACGTCGGCGCTCTACACTTTCGCAACGTCAATATATTAATCCAAGTAAATGCCAATCAATAAACTCTAATTAATTAAAACAGCGCAATTACGAACAATTAAAAAATTGATATTAATAAATATATGTCACAATTACTTCATTTTTGCTCAATAATTATTCAATAAAAACCTTCTGCTTACATTACAAAATCGTTTATAAATACATAAACGAAAGAACTGAATACAACAGTATTACAGAAACACTATTCCTTCACTTTATAAATTAGTTCCTCGTAAACAATGAATTTTCAAGAGGATAATGCTCCACCTAGCTTGCCGTTGACGTTCGTAACGCCGCAAACATTTACCCTGGCCTGCAAAGTCCCGATCTGAACCCGATCGAGAATCTTTGGAATGAAGTTGATAAGAAAGTGCGAAACTTGCCTAATCAACCTACAAGCTTGGAAGATTTGGAACGTAAAGTTTTGCGTTCGATTATATTCAAAAATTAGTTGTAAGTATGCCCCGTCGAATCCAAACGCAGCCGAGGGTGGAGCAACAAAGTGTTAGTTTTTTTTTTTTATTTTATTTGTTTTTTTTAATAAAAAATGTAAAAATATATTCGGAATAAATATAATTTTACTTATCAAAAAAAAATTGATATAAATAATTATAAATAATAATTTTTCAAACGTTCGGATATCCGTGATATATTATAATAATATAATATAAAAATATAACAAATATAACTCATACTACTAATCTTCATCGTTAAGGCAATGTCTGCATCCCGTACACCATTTTTGACAATTCTTTAAGGTACTTTTCACAGACTTATTTTGAGCACTGAAAGTAGAAGAGAATGTACTTTTTGAGAAGGGATATTTGATGAATCTATTTTACCTAATTTTTAAAAAGAAATGTATGAAGGAAGATAGTGTCGTTCTCTGATAAATGGCATAAGGCCAAACAATTATTACAATGCTTCTTTAGTCGAAGCAATTCCAAATCCTGTGTTAGACGTTTCCCATTGGTATGATTGATTACTGCATTTGTATTTGACGAAGGATTCATAGGTAGTAAAGGTATTTTCAGTTTGATTAAACGTAACCTTCTTTGGTTCATTCTAAGCATTTATATCCTACAATTTCCCTATATCCCAACTACTATTCCTAAATCACCGGATTATGCGATTCGACAATTCAAATAAGTTATTACGTAAACTGATAAATATAAATTGTGCGTATTAACGATGATCATCCATGACGTTAAAAAATATTTTCAAAATCATTCTATTTAAATTAAAAAGGATGCATTTATCAGCAGCTTTGCAATGCATCCTTTAATAAGATCCCAAAAAATATTCAAGGCAGTTTTTGAGTGCAATAGGTTAGATAGTTGGCATCCACCTAAATAACTATCTGTTTTTTTTTTGGCGAATTTTTTCCAAGAGTAACTTCACTACTAGAACCATTCCCTCTTATTTTTTCTAATCCGGTTGAACATTATAGAATTCATAAGTTGAATAAGGTTCTTAAAATATATAGTGATAGGTAAGGTAATTGAATTTAGAATACTTTTTTTTTTTTGAACACGACAAATTTTGTTGCCAAGGAATTATTAAAATAAATAAAAATACCAATAAAATTTGTGAGGTTTCCTCGTTTTACAGAACGATTCATATATCCCCTAAATTCACAACAAAATGAAAATAGGATTCTTATTCCTATACGTTATAAAACGGTCGAACTGCAAAAGAACTGCATTTATTTATGTTTTACAGCAGATGATTGGCCGTATAGGAACTTAAGAAAAATTTTTCCCGCGCTTTTTTTATTTTTGATTTACTCACTTAAATAAATTTAAAAGTTTCAATGAGTTCTTTTGTAACTTCAATGAAAAATTCAACGTGATATCATTAATCAAAACAAAATATAATATGTACTGTATGTATATATATATTAAAACGAGAAAAGCTAATGTTTTCAAAATCACGGGAAAAATGAAATTTAATTTTGTCCGCAGCATAGATTTTATTATATGACGTTTTCGCACAACATTACCTTCTTTACATATTTTTTTTGAAAAATATTACGACCAGGAAAGTTAATAATGATACACGATACATTTCAAAATTCAAAACTGAAGAAAGAAAGTAAAGTTTATTTATAAGTGTTATTTAAAGTTT